GGCTTCCCCACTGCGTTTCCCTCCGGCTTCCCCACTGGGTTTCCCTCTGGCTTCCCCACTGCGTTTCCCTCTGGTTTCCCCACTGCGTTTCTCTCTGGCTTCCCCTCTGCGTTTCTCTCTGGCTTCCCCACTGCGTTTACCTCTGGCTTCCCCATTGTGGAAAGTCAGCTGAGAAAGCTGCAAATGGCGATCAGGAGACACAGTGCTCACAAATGCCAAGCTAGGCACCCAGATTGTGATCACACAACTGCGATGAGGGTGTTTCAATGGTCATAACTCTGAGAACTGGTTGTAAGTCACTCTTTTCAGCACCGTCACGTCAGTCGCTAAACAAACGGCCATAAGTTAGGACCAACTGCATTCCTAACCAGAGAGATTTTGAGAAGACCCTGAATACAACATGGAGCTAGAACTTCCCGCCCCAGATACGATACTGGCTTCCTTTTGCTGGCTTTGCCTCCCTCCCTTCTCCCACAACAACAGCTGTGGTCCGACAACCACACAACCTGCAAGCAGAAACTCTGCTGCTAAAACTCTGGGGATGCAACCTACGTCCCACAAAGTACCCACAACTGTTTTTCCCGGAGGTCGACAGCCTGCAGGGAGGAAGGATGCCATATTGGCTCAGGAAGGTAGTTTGTGTGCTCACACAAATGTTTGTGGTATGTTCCTATGTTTGTGGTGCATTCCAAGCCAGGGAACACAACCCTACATTTTGGTACGTCCCAAGCCAGGGGTGCTCAACCTTGGCCACTTTTAAGACTTGGAGAGTTCAACTCCCAGAATTCCCCAGTCTCCAAGTCTTAAAGTGACCAAGGGGCGGCGCACCTGTCATTGAGGGACCCTCCCTTTAAAGCGGGGAAAGAGGAGGTGGGATCACAAGACAGACAACCCCCCCCCCCAAAAATCAGCAAAACGATCTGTTCCAACGTGCCCCATGTCCTCCCACAGCTCCTTCCGTCCGGTCGTTGCCGTACGGACACGCACTTCCTGGCCAAGAGAAAATTCAATCGCGTTCTTTAAATTTCCCGCACCCAGAAGTGAGATCTCAAACTTAACCTACCCCCCCGCCGCCCCGACACACAGCCATTTCCAAGATTTCAAATTTGCAGCAAGGGGAGGGAAAAAAAAAACGTTCATTTTAATATGGATTCCATTAAATAATAGAATTAATTTATTATTATTCTTTTTTTGTATAAAAACAAAATAAAATATACGTTTCCTCTTCTTCGGATTTTCTTAACTTTGGTGCAAGGGATAAAGGGGGGAGGGATAGGGAGAGGAAGAAGAGGGAAACGGCGGGGGGGTAGGCGCTCCTCGGACGATGCGGAAGACCACCCCCAATTTCCAAGCCTTCCCGCCCCCCCGCCCCGAATTCAAGGGGAGGGAGGCAAGACTGGAGTTGCTATCAGTGGGGCTGGAAAGGGCTGGAGTAGGTGGGGCTCAGGCTGGCCAGGGACTCTGCTATTTGGAGGGAGGGGCCTCCATCAGCAAGGTAGGAAGCACTGAAGCAGGATGGGGCCCACCTGGGCAGGTGGGGAATTCGGCAAGGAGGGAGGGGGGGTTCAGCAGCACTGAGGAGGGGCGCAGAGAGAAGAGAATTTGGAAGGAGGACATTTCTATGGGGGGGGGCTTGGCGAGTCCCTGGGGGTGGGTCTCTGCGCCCCTTAGATCTTCCAGTTGCTGGGCCTCTGGCGGATGCTCCCCCCATGGTCTCCGTTGTTTGTTGGGCACCAGGAAGGGGTTTCCCTCCTCCTGCCGGCTGCGCTGGGGGGGGTCTCCGCTCTAGCCAAGGAAGCAGGCAGCCCCCACCTCAAAGCCAAAGCGCTGCCCGGGCTCCCCAAAGTCTGCCAGGCGCACGTCCAGCAAGGGCAGGTGCTCCACCTGTGGGGTGTTGACTTCCAGGAGTGTCTCGCTGGATCCTTTCCGTGCCTGGGGTGGGGGACGGGGGACGGGGAGGAAGACAAGGGTCAAAGTTGGAGGTGGATCACTGCCCTCCACCCCAAAGAGAAGCCGGGAGCCCTACTTTCCAACAGCCGTCCACCGGTCAGGAAGGTGTGGGAACCGGGAACGCCGGGACCTCCATTTGGGGGGACTATTTTGTCCCGAACCTGGAAGCCCCCTGCATCTGCCGTGTCCCCCCACACCTGCCCTCTGCTGAGCCAAGGAGGGCCCCTGAACCCCCAAAGGGGAGAGGAGCAGCACCGGCAGCCGATAGCGGGAGAAAAGGAAGTATCTGAGGACACATACCCCCCCGAATCCATCCATGTGGGGACGGAAAGTACAACGCCTTTCGTTCTGCCCTCTCTTGACTAGGGGTCCCATTCCTCCACCCACCCCACCCTTGTGGTTGTTGTTCTCCCCCCCCATCCCAGTCCCCTCCCGGGCGCTCACCGCACAGCCGTCCACCAGGGCCTTGACATAGGGGCTGTTGTCGTAGCTCAGGTCGTCCTCGTTGGCCCCCCGGAAGCGTAGGGCCTGTTGGTAGCCCCCCAAGGCGGGGGACCCCGAGCTGTGCCAGGCGACCGAGTGCTGGCAGTGGTAGGTGAAGTTCTGGCGGGCAGAGGTGCTCAGCAGGCGCAGGAAGGAAAGCTGCACCACGCCCAGCGGGTGGCTGTCTGCGTCCACGTAGGAGAACTGGGGAGGGACCAGGGATGAGGGAGAGATGAGGATCTGGGGGGGTTGGGGTGACTGCTCTAAAGCAGAGGATGCCGAACCCTAAGGTGGAGGGTGGGCTGGATGGCCTTAAGGGTTCTGTCCCTCCTCCATGGGAGGTTCCCCTCCACACCTCCCTGCACGGATCCTTTCACACGGCAAGCCTCCTGCACTGAGGGACCCAATGTACTGTGTTGGTGTCCCTATCCAAAATCAACCCAACGGGGCTGTGTTCAGACAACCCACCAAGTTCCAAGAAAAAGGAAGTCAACTGCCCCAACATACACACACAATACACACACCACACACAAGTTCACCCCTCCCAGCTTGGCAAGTTTCACAAAGGTCGCTTCCGGTCCTTTGGAATGAAATTTGGTGTGTTGTGTGAAAGCAACACAAAGACCGACCCACTGAGTGGCCACCAGGATTGGCGGTCCATGACAGAAGGAGGATTTCCCGGTGGAGACCCCTGTTCCTCGGCTTTCCCCAGAGTCCACCCCCCACCCCAAGTAAGAAGTCCCCTCCCCATCACAAGCTTTGTGGTGAGGTGCGCCTCCAGCCCAGGAACCCTGTCTGCATCCTGGGATCCCCAACAAGCCACCAGGAGGAAGGATTCGGGTGCAGGAAAGGGGGCCTCCCTTTCCGAGAGACCGAGGGGGAGAACCCACCATTCCCCACCCCCAGACAGTGGACTCACCCGATGGCCCTTCTGGAACTGGCTGAACCACCTGGGCGGCGTCTCCTCCTCCCAGGCATCCATTGACACCTGCAAAGGGAAACCATCAGAGGGCCGGCCTTCCCAGAGAAAGACGCGGAGGGTGGATTTGGGGGGTGAGGGGTGGCAGGAGACCCGGGCCTTTCTTGAGCTAGGAGGGGCCAAAGCAAGCAGTGCCAGGGCTGGCTTGGTTTTCTGACCCAGAGAGAGAGAGAGAGAGAGAGAGAGAGGGAGGGAGGGAGGGAGGGAGGGGGGGGGGGGGAGAGAGAGAGAGAGCACGCCCCCAAAAGCAGCAGGTCCTTGTGTGGCTGGCCCCAAATTCTGCCCCTCGGCTTTCTGAAGGGATCCATCTCCTCCCCGCTCCCAGAGGGCTTGATCCATGGGGCTGGGATCCACAGCCCTCCTGCCCCATTCAAAGGCTTTCTCGCCTTCACGGGGCCAGGCCTGTTTAGTCCCTGGATGGGAGACCACAAGGCGACCATGGAATTGCACCCTCAGCCAGAAGAAGCTGGCGGCAAAGCCCTTCACCCCGAAACCCAGCTGTCAATTTCGGAGTTAAAATGTGCCTTGTATGATTGTGTTTAACCTTAATTGTATTTTATGTCGTTGCAGGGGTTTCTTTTCAAATGAGGGAGGGCAGCCTGTCAAGCCTGAAATGGACCTATGTGTAGCCTTTTTAGTTAGGCTTTTTCTTTTTCTTATTTTCTCTGTGGCAGTCATGGGAAGGAAGGGTTTCGACTTGCCACATTCCTAAGCGGGGGCGGGAGGAGTGGAGATAGAGAGAGTTGTTTGGGCTAAGAGATTCTTCTTCCCGTGAGAAAACGATCTGTCCACATTGAGGCCCCAGATTTATGACGTCAAGCAACGTTGAATTACTTCTATTTGAGAAAGTGACCTTTGGGGATTGTTTCTAACTTCTAATATCGTGGGGTAATTCTGGGTTGGGTCAGATCCGGTATTACTGCGGACTTTGCCAATTTGATGCTTTCCTAAATAAAAGAATTTGTCTCGGAAGATGGACTTTGCTCTTTTTCTTTTAAAATGGATTTCATCACTTGGAAACCTGACGCCAGACTTTGCCCCGCTGCCTGGACAGGCTGTGCCCACCACAGGCCTTTGGAGCAATGCAGGGGTGCCCAGACTGGGTGCTCTCCCCCTCCCCCCTCCCAAACATTGCCAGGGGGTGCCACCTCCCCTATTTCATGGGCCCACGCTCGTTTTTCCTAAACTACCCTCCCAAATGGCAGAAACGGGGCCGTCGGCTTTCAGGGTTTGCTTGGGGGGGGCAGCGGGCTCCCCAAGAACCTCCAGTAGGGCCAACCCTCCACCCTTGACCCCTGCCGAGGGGCCCCCTCCTCACCTCTCGAGACTCCCAGCTGGGGAAGACGCAGGTCTCGCCCCCCGCCGTGAAGTTGCAGTAGACTTTGAAGGAGTCGCGGGAACAGCCCTGATTGGGGTCAATCCAGTATTCACCTGGAGAGAAGAAAGGGCCAAAGTTCCCCACCAAGCTTCCAGTTTTGGGGGGGGTGTCCCACAACTCCAGCGGCCCCTTTGCAAACTCATCCCTCACCGCTCAACCCCCCCAAAAAAGACAGGGTGTAGTCGGCTGGGGAAGGGGATTTGGAGAGTAAATATTACCCCAGGATTTCACATTTGGCTTCCAAAGCAGGGGTCGGGTGTAAATAATGTTACTACTGGTTCTGTGGGCGTGGCTAGATGGGCGTGGCCATTGCACTGGTGGGCATGGCTTCTTCTTCTATTTTTTTTTTTGCAGCAACCCTCCCCGCGCTCAAATTTTTTGCCTCCTGGGTGAAGCAGTAAGACAGCAAAGGGGATCCCAGAACAGCTGATAGTCAGAACAGCCGATCGTCAGAACAGCTGATCGTCAGAACAGCTGATCATCAGCAGGGGGAAATAGGGGATCCCAGAACAGCTGATAGCCAGAACAGCCGATCATCAGAACAGCCGATCATCAGAACAGCTGATCGTCAGCAGGGGGAAAAATATGGGATCCCAGATCAGCTGATAGTCAGAACAGCCGATTGTCAGAACAGCTGGTCGTCAGAACAGCTGGTCGTCAGCAGAGGGAAAAATACCCCTTCAGCCGAACCTAGCTGTTTTTTTTTTACTAACAGTTTGGACAAACGGTTAGCATTTTTTTACTACCGGTTTGCTCGAACTGGACCAAACCGGTAGAATACCACCACTGTTCCAAAGGTTCCCCAAAGGGCTTTTAGGGAGAACCCCGGTCAGAAGCCAGGAACAGGTTGGAGGGAGTAACAGATCTGAGGACCTGGGGCTGCCCCCCCCTCCTACAATGGCAAGGCTGTTGGGTGTTGTTGTCCAGAAGCTTGTGGGTTTGACGAAGGCACCACCGGCTCAACGGCGTCCATGGGACACCTCCCTTTGCCAAGAGTGTTGCATCGCATGCCCTCCGGGAAAGAAGCCCCCTGGGTCCCAGGTGGGAGGGCCCGGGAATAGCCCTGGGGGAGGCAAGCAGGCCTCTTGACAGTCTGAAAGGGTCTAGGGTTTCTGGCTCATGTGGGGGGGAGGGTTGGACTAGAAGACCTCTGAGGTCCCTTCCCACTCTGTTATTCCGTTACACCCACCATCAGGCAATTCGGGCTGGCTCAAGTGGAGGTCCTGGCAGGTGCGGGCAGGGCTGTCCCGAGTGCCCAGCGGCTTCTGCATCCCCTCGATCTCCTGGCGGAGAGACTCCAGCGAGCCGTAGATCTCCTCCACACGCCGGGAGGCTGGCTGATCCGCCGCCCCATCAGCCGCCATCTCCTCATGCTCCTCCACCAGCTGGCTGCCGTCCACCGAGCGCCGGCTCTTCTTGGAACGCTGAATGGGCAGCGGCTGGATGGTCTCACCTGGCGGACCCTGCCCAAGAAGTTGCACCTCTTCATACAACACCCAGGATGCCTGTGGGGGTTCAGCCCTTTGGGGGCCACCTCAAGCAGGTTGGGCAATGCAGGGAGTCCTCACTTTACAAACACAATAGCCCCAAGAAAATCGTCTTTTCGCTGCCGCTCAAGCCCCGATCCTACCCTACACCATTTCTGACCGATGGCAGTCCGGTCTCTTCTTGAAAGTCTCCAGGGATGAAGCTCCCACAACTTCCAAAGGCAACTCCTGTTCCATCGGTTGATTATTCTGTCGGAAAATTCCTCCTTATTTCTAGATTGAATCTCTCCTTGTTCAGTTTCCATCCATTGTTCCTTCTCTGGCCTTCAGGTGTCTTGGAGAATAGCTTGACCCCTTCCTCCTCTCTGGGGCAGCCCCTCAAATACTGGAAGATGCTCTCCTGTCTCCCCTGGTCCTCCTCTTCCCTAGACTAGCCAGGCCCAATTCCTGCAACCGTTCTTTGCATGTTTTAGTCTCCAGTCCCCTCATCCTCCTGGTTGCTCTTCTCTGTACTTTCTCTAGAGTCTCAACCTCTTTTTTATAATGTGGTGACCAAAACTGGATGCAGTACTCTAGGTGTGGCCTTACTAAGGTTAATAGAGTGGTATGAGTACTTCCCTTGATCTTGACTGTATCCCTCTGTTAATACAATTTAGGATTGCATTAGTTTTTTGGGCTGCTGCACACGGCTGGCTCATATTTAACTGGTTGTCCACTGAGACTCCAAGATCCCCCTCCCAGTTCCTGCTATTGAGCCTGGTTTCACCCAATCTATGTGTGTATTTTTGGTTTTTCTTGCCTAAGTGTAGGACTTTACTTTTTTCTACGCTGAATTTCATTTTGTTGCATATGGCCCAGGGTTCGATTCTGTCAAAATTCCTCTGGATCTTGAGCCTATCTTCTTGGGTGTTAGTTATTCCTGCCAGCTTAGTATCATCTGCAAATTTGGTAAGTTCCCTTTCTATTCCCTCATCTAATTCGTTAATGAAGATATTGAAGAGTAGTTATGATGGCCGCAGAGATCCCCTTCTACGACCTTCTTACCAGCAGAGTCAATGAGGAAGGCAGATTTACTTAACGACCGTGTGACTCGCTTAACAACTGCAGTGATTTGCTTAAGGAGGGTGGTGAGGAAGATCGTTAAACGGGTCAAAACTCACTTAACATCTATCTCCGCTAGCAATGGACATTTGAGGCTGGATTGTGGTGGTAAGTCGAGGAGTATCCCATATGTACATTTAAAAAAATAAAATAATAAGATAATCAAATAATCATAAGATAATTACTGAAAAAATAAATAATAAAAATAATACTAAGATAATAATGTCAACTAAAAATATACTCCTTTGGTCTTTTTAGCTGTCAGCAGAAAGGAAACAGTGCATTCCTTAAGTGCCTAGATAATCACCCTGGCAGCCCAAAGTTGTCGGAGTGCAAGGTTGTTACTGGAGAACATGATGGATGCCTCTTGGCTATGGATGTGTCCCATTGGAGAATATACATCCAGGGGTCAGGGGAAGACCAGGGTCACAAGGGGGAAATGAAGGATTTATTTTAGTATCGGCTGCACCCAACTAACGCCGACGTGGCCGCTTCTCATAAATCAATTTTCTTTTCTCCGAGAGATGCGGCAAGAGACTTAGGATGTGAACGGGGGTGGATTGGTTGGAGTCCTGACAAATATGATAATCAAATGAAATATGGCTACAATCAATTCTTAGCCTTCAAAGTGCTCGCATCATTATTGTTGTTCTGGTTTTATCTTTTAAATATTTTGGGAAATTGGATTTTTTTAAAGCCAGATTTGGAAAAATAAAATCTGCCGGCCTTCTCCCACCCCCCCCCAAGGCCTCTCCTGGGTCTTCTCCACCAAGGGGGAAACCGAGGCAGGGCGGAGTGAGTCTGGGGTCTTACCGGCCTCCCCGGGGGCCCGGGGACACCTCTCTGTCCTTTGGGTCCGGCTTCACCCTGGAATCAAATCGCCAAGAGGTTAGTCCTCAAGGAGAGACTTTCCTATTTCTCTCCCCACACCCCTTGCTCATCCTCCCACCACCCCACCACCCCCAAGCGCTATGGGGCAGGGCTGTGTTCCTCACCGTGGCTCCTTTGGCACCCTGAGGACCGGGACCACCCTGAAAGAGAAGGAGAGAATTGGGGTCTCCATCTAGGAGGTGTAGGAGGGCTCAGGGGGGATTAGGTGCTACTCACAGGAAGTCCAGGGGGCCCCACGGGGCCAAGAGGGCCCATTGGTCCAGGGATGCCCTGCAGGGAGAGAGCCAGGGGGGTGTTAAGTTGGTCCTTAAGTCCCTTAAGCCCCCTCTCAAGCCCCCCCTCCTCCAGGCACTTACAGTCTCTCCTTTAGGACCCCCACTCCCTGGGGGGCCAGGGCTCCCCCGGTCCCCTTTATCTCCTTGTTCTCCGGCCGGTCCAATCAAGCCGATGAGTCCCGGGTGGCCCTGTGGAGAGACAGGGTGTGATGACCCAAAGGGACGCGGCACAAAAGCAATGAAGTCCCCAAAGTAGGTAAAGTCCCTTTAACGCCTCCAACCTGCCCCCCCAATATCCAGTTATCATCAGCTGGAGAAAAAAAAACTCTCCCAAGAACAGTTTTTAAAGTGAAGAAATTGCATCCAAATCCAAACATATAAATTTACATCTAAATTATATATAAAAACCAACACAAACCACGCTGCGGCAATTATCGAGACGAGGCAGGATAAGGAATTGCAGACTTCAAACAATAATGAAACACACCCAGTTAGGAGGACACCAGAACCCAGGTAAGACTTGACAAACAAAGATAATGCACGCTTTGCTTCCAGCAAGGTGCTGTGCGCAAACGCCCTTTTTAAATCCTGTTTTTCCAGCTGTGGCTAATGAAACCCTAAACCCAAAACCCTAAACCCTAATCCCAAAAGCCTAAACCCTAAACAACCCTAAACCCTAAACCCAAAACCCTAAACAACCCTAAACCCTAAACCC